ATTCAAGTTTTGTGCAAAAACGCATGATCGCTCCGGCTCGCCTGGTGCGTTCCAGCCTGGGTTTCTAAACTGTTTCCGTCTGTCCTTTTATCTGCAGGAACTCACAGCACACCACTTAGCTCAAAGATGTCGGATGCTCGTTTTTCTGTGGCAGTTAATTCCTTTTCCGTATTCACTTTCTAAGAGAGGCTGTAATATTCGGAAGTGGCCTAAGCAGTAACGCGTGCTATTTGCAACCATTTCGTGGCAGGGCAGTCGGTGGCTTCCTGTTCGAGAATTGCTCAGAATTAAGTCGACGTTAGTCTCAAGTGTTCGCCAGTGACCAGTTTGCCATCGAACTGGATGAATGAATTATTCGTGAAGGGAGTGGTTATCCCACTGGCGGAATCGAATCCTAAACTTCCAGCATGACAGCAGCACAGCGTGCTACTGCTCGGGCTCTTGCACTCTTTAATAGCTGGTTCAGGACAAAAATGTGGACCGTTGCATATTTTCCAGTTTTTGTATGAAGAAAAAGTCCATCAACAGAAAATCTGTGTATGAACTTTTATTCGCCTGCTAGCCTGGTCAGATATCTTGGCTTTGCGCCTGGAAAAGTTCGGAAGCTAAAATTTGTAAATAAAGTTTCTACCTTGAATAAGGCCAATAAAATGCACTCGGAACACATACACCACACACTCACACACATACACGCACACACACGTCTCAGCAATATGCTTTTTGTGCAGCTGTTGCAACACAAAACGCATTAAGACCTAAGACCAGTTCACATCTATTTTTTTGCGCTGACAAAAAATTTCAGGTCTAAATCCGCGTTGTTTTCATTACCTAGGAATGAATAGGCTAACAATTTCGAAATTCTGAAACGTTAGTTTGTCACCCTTTGTATGCTTACAAATCGAAATCTTGTTGCGCATTTCAACTTGAAAAGTTGAAGATTATACAACTATGGTTGCACCTCGTATTGTAAAAAGCAGAAAACTAAAAGCGCAAAATTAATTTTCTTGTCCTTCTTCGTCCAGCCACAGGGAACGTCAAGGATTCAGGCTCGCGACTTAGCGCCATCCCAACACGGCTCACATTAGAGGATAATTTGTTTCTTACCTGCATCCGGGCTGCGCGTCATCAATCAAGAAGTCTTCGTAACCACGAAAAATGAAATTCACTCACTGCAAATTTGCAACAGCTTATCCCAATAACTCATAACCATCTAGACCTTCTGGTGCGCGAGGTGATTTGTCGGCTCTAGCTTTTTTTTTGCTCGTAATAGTTTCAGGAGCTTCCTAGGTGAATCCAAAAACGCAATGATATTTTTAATTATTGCGACAATGTTCGTGAATGCCAACTTGGTTGTAAGTTTGCCTTCTAATTTTTGGGATTCACATATTTTAAGTGTTCCTTGTAATGCTTCTAAAAATCCATTTTTGGCACAGTAGTAAAATTTAGTGTGCAAGGAAGAAAATGGAAGAATCGTTCCGCAATTAAAACTCATCACGTTCTTTATTCAGAAATGATTGTAAAAGTTTTAACATGTGGCCGAAATAAAAGCAAATTCAGTAACAAACAAATTGTTTTTACTAATTCAGAAAACTGTCTCAAAAATTAATTTGCAGAAATTGACAAATTTAAGCAAATTCAGGAAGATCGACTGCGGAAGTGCAAGTGTGGCGATGACCTTGACTGCCAAAATCAAGCATTGGATGCACTGGACAAATGCGCCACTAAATGCGGTCAGGAGTTATTCCCTCTTGGTGGTGATGTGCAAGATATGGTGAATTGTTTTGGCGACCAGCGAGCTGCAATTCAAGCTGAAGACAATTGTTTTCGGAAGAAGATTAATTACCGGTCCGCTTAATAGATTTACAACACAAAAGCAGAAGTTATGAATTCAAATATTAAAAAAAGTAACATTTAGACAAAGTAATCCATGTGCTGTAAAACTTAGCAGTTTGGGTTAACGAAAGATTACAGATGCGATCAAGAAACGAATTCCACATCTGTCGATGAATCGGATTTCGAAAAAATAAAGGTATTATTACCAAAGCATAATAATCACTGATAAAATGTAAACCCAAACTGCAACGCACCAAGCTTGCCGGTGCGATCATGTGTTTCTGCGCTAAACTTGCAAATGGCTAACAGCAGGAATGGTCGCTACACTGTGTTTTAATACCTGGACTCATATTGGAAGTGTTTTCACCTCTTATCATATGCAGGAGGAAGGGGCATTGGCTGGGATGAAGTTGTATTATGGGGCCACATGGACTCAAACGTGTTACGGTCAGTTTTTTGCATGAAGCGCGGTCGTTTTTTCGACGAATGCTCACTCTTTGAAAAAATAATGCAAATTTGAAACAGTTCCGAAGGGTATTACGGAATCTGCAGAATGCACTTGCTTTTGAGTTTGCGATAAATCACGTCTGCTTGCAAAAATTTCATCTCCAAGCTGAATTAAGAAGTTGAGTGAATATACAGTATGTTTGCGAAGAGTGAATATACAGTATGTTTGCCTTACTTACGAAGCTGATGCTTAGGTAAAGCTGAGATCTCGCGGCTTTACCTAGAGATCAGTTTCACCTTACTGGCGCTCAGCTTTCTTTGCCTAAGCATCACATTTATGAGCGGGGACGTCCCCTATTTATGGCGGGTTTTTTGCTTGCTTTTCTTGCTTTTATTTTCTTTATTGCTTGTACTTTTTTCTTTCTTTTACTTTCATCCTTGCTGGTACTTTCTTC